TCCAGTAATAAACATCAACAATGTCGGAACCCATAGCTGGTTTTCCGGCAACGATTGAACGAAAACGTAAACTGCGGCTAAACACTGGAACATGAGACCAAGAAGATGGCGGAGCCACAACTCGTTATCTTCTAAAGCGAAAGCGGTTATGGTGTCCGGACCGCCAAGGTGCACCAAAAGAAACGGTGCCCAAAAGGCAAGAAGGTCTTCACTTTTCGGCGAGTCGCTGTTGGGGTTTCCTTGGCTGTTCGAGATGAGCCCAACGGCAAAGTTAGCCGCCCAATCAGCTAGCAAGTATGCGGACCATAACGGCATGATGATCCAGTTGCTCTTTGTTCGTTTTCTCAAAGGAGCGAAGAGAATCAAGAACGTTTGTAACGAAAGACTCAAGATTATGAAGCCTTGGAGATCCCATGTATCCCATACTCGCTTCCATTTCGGAAAAAGATCGGCCATCATTCTCCTCATTTTTCTGTAATCGATCTGTCTGCAAGAACGACTACAACGATTTCGAGTGTTTTAGACCTTTAACCGATATCCGAAAATGGCAACTATGATCAATGGTTAACCAGCATAAACACAACTATCACTATGCTACAAGCATAAAGTCCAAAGTTTCTTGAATGATATTTCCATTCTCACATCATCCTTCCTCCCTCTCGATGTTCATTTGAGAAGTGATAAATGTGTAATAAGTAGAGAAGTGATCCTATCCCTTCATCTGGTCAATATTTGCGGCTTTAACTGTAAAACTCCGGATAATTCGATCGCACAGTATGCGAAAGATAGTAGGGTAGTTTCATAACTTTTACAAATAGACGACCAACAAGTGCATATGTGAACCCGTGTGCACATATGAACTGTCTGTGCATATGTGAACCCGTGTGATTTACATATGAACTCGTGTGATCAGTTATGATTCACATATGAACCATTTAACTAATCACATGGGTTCATATGTGAATCACACAGGTTCCATATGTACCTGATTGATTGTCGTCTATTTATACAAGTTACAAAACTACCCCTCTATTATTCGCAAATTTGTTACCATGCCGTAAATCTTGACCGGGTCAAAGCCATAAATCTTGAGATAAATCTTGAGATGAAGAGCTAGGATCACTTCTTTACTTCTTAAATAATTATCACTTCTCAAATGAAAATATGCCTATATATACACTTGGGATCACATGAGACCAACTTGTTTTAGTGATACCATTTTTTACCCTTGAAACTTCACAGCAAAACACTAAGAAGGTAACCTTTTGTGGTACCAAACACTTTTGCACATATGGGTCAAGAAAAATGAGTTTAGGGATCTCCATTTTCAGAATTTCTTCTGCTTTTTGCAAAGATCCATGGTTTGTTAGCAACAAAAAGAGTTTGAACAGCCAACTTTAAAGCCATTCAGTTGAAACATTTGAAATGAATAAACAGCTGATTCATCAGACAGCCAATGAAAGTGGTAGTTGAAGAAATCTTGACTGTTCATAAAGTCAACCACTACATTTGTCTTTTTGGACACCCCAAACACCATAACCCAGAGCTCAACCAGTAAGTACCACAAGAAACTACCAACAAGAAGGCCAATCATTCAAGTTCAGCAAGGGTAAAATGGTAATTTCCTTGAAGTTTGCCATCTATAATAACAAGGGAAAGTAGTGGGGAAGAGATGGTGTACCTGGTGTTTCTTGAATTGCTTAAAGAAGAAGATGTGAGATTTGTGTATGCATCCAATTTGATGATTAAAGATTTGCAGAGAAGAGTCTTTCAAGTCATATGGAATCAGATGTTGGAAGTTGGTAATTAAGAGTGAGGGTTTCAAGAAAAACCTTTCAGGAAACAAGATTGGTAATGGAGAAAACACAACAAAACCCCTCTCTCTCTCTCTCTCTCCCTCTATATATATATATATACTATATTATAAAGCATTTGACAAAAACTCATAAAAACAATTTTTATGGGGTATCATGAAAAACCCTTGATCCCGTAAACCCAACCCAACCCTATATATATATATATATATATATATATATATATANTCTCTCTCTCTCTCTCTCTCTCTATATATATATATATATATAATGTTGATAAATAAATATAAATTATTTTTTATAGGGTATCATGAAAAACCCTTGATCCCGTAAACCCAACCCAACCCTATATATATATATATATATATATATATATATATACATATATATATATACACTTGTGATCATGTGAGACCAAGAGTTTTTCGTGAGGCCATAAGACCAATTCTTCACCCTTAGATTAGATCTACAATCGTCAGATCAGAACATTCATAAACGCCACGAGATTTCTCAATAATCACAAAATTGTCACCGTACAAGTTTAGACCATTAGATCATTAGCTTATAAAGTTGATCAATGAACATAAATTAATCTTACGGGTCTTACGAAAAACTCTTGTTTTGACGTGAACAGTAAACCCAACCATATATATATATATATAAATAAATAAATAAATAAAGTGTTTGGAGATTAAAGGTTATTTTAAAAATAATAATTGGATGACATTTATTCTTGAATATAAAAATAAGTCAAGATTGACTTATTTTAATATTAAAGCATCAATATATTTATTGGTTCTCAAGGTTTTTGTACTTTTTAAATGAATTGAAACTATCTATGCATGTGAAAAGAAGACTTAAGACGAGAATGGTAAAAAGAAATTTATTATAAAATAAATGATTTATACATATAAAAATCATCTAGGGAAATTTTCATAGGTGATTACTGATAGATCATCCAGAAAATATCGATAATTCTATAGAATCCTATGCTTTTCAAGAAAATACCTATGGATCGTCCAGAGAGAATCCCTAGATAATCTGTCACTAATTTGAATTACCCACCAACTTTTGTGAGAGTTTTCTAATGAATCATTTTTTAACGACAGATTTTCTAAAAAAAAGTTTATAAGTAATCTGGATCCTTGATCATCTTTAATCTTAAACCATGTATAAATCACTTTTGTGACAAAGACAAATATAACCTTTGAAATTGGGCCGGATATGGGGTTTGGATTTTAATTGGGCTTGGAGCCTATATTGATTCCTAGAAGAAGAACAAATCATGAACGAGGAGCTCCTCATTTCACAGTAATCATGGCGTCGTGGATGAAGCGGGAACGATCTTTAGCAGACGAGAGCCCCTCAACGGGGAAGAAACCTAGAGTTAATTACGATGGTCAGTCTCTGACCACCAGTCATCGCGTCGTTCTTAACACTGCCGATTGTGATCTAGGTATGAGATTTATTTATTTACACTATCATCTCCCGCTTCTTGTTGGAATTCAAAATCTTACGCTGAAGAGTCGAGAGTTTTATATTACGACAAAAAAAAATTCGTTTGTTTTTCCGTGAATATGATTTTTCCTGTTATGTGTGTGCGTCTGTTGTGAGAATTTTGAATTTAGGTCTTGAATTTAGTTAGAAACTCTATTGTTTTACGTGTTAGGTTTTTGAATTTTGTTGATATCGGTGCTGGTTTTAGTTGATTAAACCAGTAACATTAATCCATGGACCATGGAGCTCGCTTTATGATCCAGATCAAGACATGAGAAATGACATATTTTCAATCCACTGAAACATTTCTATTCAAGAGATTTTGTTTAGCGAAATAATCCTTTTCTGGAAACGTGAACTAGAAATTTTTATTACATGAGCTGCAAAAAGAGGGAAGATTTTTTGACCTTAGCTAACGGGTCCAATCATATGAATATTTCCATTTTATGGGCATAGCTGATAAGAGGGAAGATTTGTTGACCTTCTACCAGATTTCGACATTGAAGGAGATGGCCTTAAAGGTTCTGCACTTTATGAGCATGGATTTGCTTATTGTTGGTCCGGTGCTCGTGCCAACATAGGTATAACTGGAGGGAAGTATTGCTTTAGTTGCAAAGTTGTCTCGCCACAGCTAGTTGATATGGATGACACACCCATCGACCAGAAACATCTCTGTCGCGTGGGCATCTCTAGGGGAGATGACAAAGTGGGAAACCTTGGGGAAACTGAGCACAGCTTTGGCTTCGGGGGAACTGGAAAATTTTCCAATGCTGGAAAGTTCTCCACTTATGGAGAAAAATTCGACATTGGGGACACAATTCTTTGTGCAGTTGATCTGGAAAGTAAACCAATGGCTTCAATCAGTTTCACCAAGAATGGAAAATGGCTGGGCACTGCAAGGCATTTTAATGCCGGTCCAACTGGTCTAGGAGTGATTGATTCACCAATCAAAGAGCTGCATTGGGAGTCGGCCGTCTTCCCACATGTGCTATTAAAAAATGTTGTGGTTCAGTTGCAGTTCAGCTACGAAGATGGTTTGGTTCCACAAGATGGGTACAGGCCATGGGCATCTGCTATTGAGGATGGAAAGGGTTTGTTGGGACCTTCGTTTTCGGATGTATATAACTGTGAATTAATCATGATGGTTGGGTTACCTGCCTCTGGGAAGACTACTTGGGCAGAAAGATGGGTGAATGACCACCCAGAAAAGCGTTATATTCTGCTAGGAACAAACTTGGCTCTGGATCAAATGAAGGTTTTTACTTTTGCTATCCCTCCCCCTAAAAGAAAGCTGTCCATCTTATGCATTTATCTGATCATTGACATTTTGAAGTAGGTTCCTGGTCTGCTTCGCAAGCAGAACTATGGTGAGCGGTTTGATTGCTTAATGGACCGTGCGACTATGATATTTAATACCCTGTTAACCAGGGCTTCCAAAACACCACGTAATTTCATTATAGACCAGACAAATGTCTACAAGAGTGCTCGTAAGCGCAAATTGAAGCCTTTTGCTAATTTTCAGAAGGTACACATCATAAGTTCATTAATCATTATCTATATACCATGTAGATTGTTGATCCTAATTAAAAGACTGGACAATCTCAGATTGCAGTTGTGGTTTTCCCACGGCCAGAAGACCTTAAAGCCCGCAGTGCGAAAAGATTTAGAGAAATGGGAAAGGAGGTTCCTGCTGAAGCTGTCAATGAAATGCTAGGTACCTTGTATGATAAGATTTTTTTTATCATTATCTATATATATGTGATTGCTTTTTGTTTGATCCTGCTATTTGCTAATTGCAGCCAATTTTGTTTTGCCTAAGAGCAAGGATATGCCTGGGACAGATGAGTATTTTGATCAGGTCATCACTTTAAAAATGTGCTTTTTCAATTTTATTGTACACCTTTGTAGATTTCTCTTTTGGCTTATGTTTTTAAAGTACCCTTTTATTTTATAGGTCATATATGTAGAACTCAACATGACAGAGTCGAAGAGATGCTTGGATGAGATGAAAGCAAAAATGCAATTAGGCATCAGTGTCTCTCCTTGTTCTCATCAAAGTTCACTCCAGTCGTATAGTAGCAATCCGGTGAGACATTCACAGGAGAATGTGTTGCAACCTCACAGGAGTTCATCAACACATCAATATCCTCCTGAAAGTTCTACCCATTTTAGTCATCCAACTTCAGGTCATTATGCTCAAGGAAATTCTTTGCCAACATATGACTCCCCTGCATTACAATATCAAGCGACTCCATCAGGTATCTTCCTTTCATTTGCTTCCTTATGTGGTGTATATCATATGACAACTGTTATGTGCGTGCCTTAGTAAGAGGGCATTCCAACCCACATGAAGTGCTCTCTTTTCTTAGGCCTCTACATATTTACTGCTCTTTTCTTAAGTGGAAATATTCTTTCTTTGCAATTCCAGAACTACCCTTCACCGCTTTGTATTTATTCGATGAAATATAATGGTCGTAATTTATCATGAGTTTCTTATCTGATCCCATTTCAGGAGGAAATTGGCAAGGTTCTTATCCATCTCAGCCTATATTGCCTAATATGCATGGGAATGAACCAAGCAAAGGCAGATTTCTCCCTAGGGATGATTTTAATCACCGTCGCAGTTACAGTGGGTATGAACATAGAGCATCGGCTCCTATGGGATTTTCTGACTCTTACCAGAGAAATTCATCCTATGGAGCTCGCGTCGAGTACCATACTCCCAGTAATGAAACCATGGATTTATCTCCTAGGTACACTGCAAATGTGATTCACCATGGCCCCCCTATAGAACGCTATGCAACAAGTTCATCTTTCTATGATGCCTCTGGTGGACCCCTGTCTGCCTCTGGTGCGCCCCAGGTTGATATGCACACTCCAACCCAATCCAGATTTCTGCCTGCTACATCAATTCCTTACGGTACGCAAATCTGACCAACCTATTATTACTTATATGCATGTTCAATTATAGCAGCATGTATTTTGTTTCTTCAGTTTAAACCAAACTACAAAAATCGGGATGTGAGTTGAAATTCAAGTTGCATATAGGGTAAAAACTAAGGGCCTGTTTACCAAACGCTTACCCGGGTAAGCGCTTACCCGGGTAAGCGCTTACCCGGGTAAGCGCTTACCCGGGTAAGCGCTTACCAAGTCACATTACCTTACCTGATGGATATGGTAAGGACCAAAAATCTTACCTGACAAGAGCGAAGGCAAGGATCGAGAGTCTTACCCGGTAAGTGAGTGCGATGACTCTTACCATGGTTAGCACTTACCAGGTGAATTGTTGCATACAATACTGTTTTCGTGGCCTAAAATTTTACCCGGTAAGTAAGTGATAATGTTGAATTTTGTCGGTAAGCACTTGCGTTTACCCCTAAATGAGAACATAAAAAGCTACTTATCAGATGCAATATTAAAATCATCACTAATACCAAGCCAAATGTTTACTTTTTAGTTATTAGTTGAAAAACGCCAACCAGAAGATTTTTCTGTGGAGTGTGGAGTATGCTTAAGTTTTGATTCTAGAAATTAACAGTTCAGTTTTGTTGGCTATATGGAAAGCTCTTACACATCCTAGCAAGTACACGAATGCTTTTTTCTTCCTTCGGTCCCATGAAACTTGCCGCACTTTACATCGGGCTATGTCCTAGGGAAATTACAACATGTCTGTTTATGGAAATATTTCTAGTTACAATTCCTTATGTGTCCCTTCTCATACTCAGCGGTGGACCCAGAATTTTTGCCGAGCAGTTGCACTTTTAAGGTGGATCAAAAGCCCACAAAGTTGCTCGATGTGTTTTTAGCCGAATTCCACCGATTTCAAGGAATTTTTTAAGTTTTTTGGTTGAGGTGCGTTGTATTTTCTATTATTCCGGAGCACCCCTCAAAGTTTCGCAGGTGCACCTTTCATACCCCCAAAACATTTCTACTTGCGAAAATAAGTTGAACGGTTGCACAGGACCTCTATCTGGGCTTCATGGGTCTGCCCCTGGTCATACTTATCTTGATGGCATTGGTTCATAAGATACCCAATTTGTCATTATTGAGGGTGCTTTTGGTATGAGAGACATGTCAGAATAAAAACTTGATATGACAATTAGACTGAGATAGGACATGACAGAATGAGACAAAAAACACCAAAATAGGTGGAACAAAAGCAGGGAGATTGGATAAGATAGGAATATTACTAAATTATCCATGTCAAATTAAAACCTTAAAAACTTTCATAGTCGTTTCATTCACCCCTACCTCACTCGCGTTAGTTTACCTTTAACGTTTATTCTTGTTGTTTCTAAACCTTTTCTTAAAATGTATTATGTAATATATAAGGAACTATTAATTTATATCTTACATGGGTCTATATGAATAATAAAAAATGCATTATCTTATAATTTTAGCGAATTATTAAATTGACGAGTTATCCCCGAGTCAGGACCAATCAAAAATATAATCAAAATTAATGGAGTTTCAACTGTATCGCTTTTTGTATCACATACATGCGTAGATTCAATTGTTGCAACGTTACGGTTGCAGTTTTCACATCTGTAAGGGACGGAGGGAGGCATTGCTATTGCTATTGCTATTGCTAACATCACGTCTTTATTGTTCTTTGAAGGTTCTGCTTACGGAACTCCGGATTCAATGAACCCGCAAGGAAATTACCCGCCAAATTACGATGGATATCAGTCTCGTTTAAGGTACTACTGAGGATTACTCTCTAATTACACTTAAATATGTTGATGAAATTTTAAAGTAGATGTAGGTATTTTTGATATTGATGGTCTTACATTTTGAACTTGGAAGAGAGGGATTATGGAATATGGTATGTACATCTTCATATTTTTATGAAATGGAAAGGAAAATAAATCAAGTTCAATCTCAACCCTAGTTGCATAAATACTTCAATATTATTAACTAGACTTGAGATCATGTGAGACCAAAGATTTTTCGTGAAACCCGTAAGACCAATTCTCAACCCTTGGATTAGATCTACAATCTGAACATTCATAATCACAAAATTGCCACGAGACTTCTCAATAATCACAAAATTGTCACCGTGCAACTTCATACCATTAGATCATTAGCTTATAAAGTTGATCAATGAACATAAATTGATCTTACGGGTCTCACGAAAAACCTTTGGTCTCATGTGAACTCAACCCGTAGCTATGTTATATTATATTATAAAGAAGCTTAAATCATTTGAAACTCCAAAATTTGTGAGATTCGTGAGAACTTCTATCTTAGGGTTTTGTTTCACGATGATTTTCAGTATTTAATGTATTGATTAACATATTTGTTTTACAGTGTGCTTGTTTCATATGTTCGGTTCAGAATGTGAAACTTTTTTATGTGTATTTTTTATTTCATAAATGTGACAAAAAGGTACACATTGCTAAACACACACACAGGTGGAGGTTGAAACGAGAACCCTGTGATTTACGAGATTGTGAGAACAATCCAATAACCTCAAACTTTTTTAATTAATAAATTAACTTATATTAAATATAAATAAATTAATAAGGGCAATAATGTAATTAAGTAATTTTTATAGTTTTTATTTTATTTTAATTAATTATAATTATCCCTTTTTTTTCTGGATTGATCACGTTCCTTTCCACTCTCTTTTCTTTCTTTGTGATAATTGTGTGATTGTGTAACCATAATCTATCGAAACCATGATCAATCGAGTGTAACCATAACCTATCGAAACCATGAGTAATCGTTGTGATAAATGTGTGATTGTCTAACCCAGCCCGATCGGAACCATGATCAAATTGAGTGCGTAAATGATATAATAGTGATATCAAATGATTATCACACCCATATTACACCAAATCGTTTAGTGGATTTCATTCGTAATTGTTGTGATAAATGTGTGATTGTCTAATCCTAACCGATCGAAACCATGATTAAATCGAGTGTGTTGGTATGATATCACATGATTATCACACCCATAACACACCAAATCGTTTAGTTGATTTCGTCCGTAATCGTTGTGATAAATGTGTGATTGTCTAACCCTAACCGATCGAAACCATGATCAAATGAGTGTGCTGTTATGATTGTGATATCACATGATTATCATATCCATATCACATCAAATCGTTTAGTGGATTTCGACCGTAACCATTGTGATAAATGTGTGATTGTCTAATCCTAATCTATTAAAACCATGAGTAATCGTTGTGATAAATGTGTGATTGTCTAAACCTAACTGATCGAAACCATGATCAAATCGAGTGCGCTGTTATGATAGTGATATCACTTGATTATCACACCCATATCACACCAAATCGTTTAGTAGATTTCAACCATAATCGTTGTGATAAATGTGTGATTGTCTAATTCTAACTTATCAAAACCATGAGTAATCATTGTGATAAATGTATGGTTGTCTAATCCTAACCGATCAAAACCATGATAAAATCGAGTGCGCTGTTATGATAGTGCTATCACATGATTATCACACCCATATTACACCAAATCGTCTTGTCGATATCTCCTTGAAATCCTTTCGTTACCTTCTAATAAACGATAACTGTTGAATTAAGTGGATAACTCTAATTTCCAGGATTATAATGTGATCGTGTTTAAAATTGTATGATTTTGATTTCCATTATTACCCTTTCGAATCTCAAATTCTTTTGAATCGTTTAAAATTTCAATTTTAATTTCAAAAATCTTTTAATTTCAAAAATCTTTTAATTTTAGTTGTTATCATATGTACAAAAAGAACATATAGGATAATGGTAACCTCATCATTAACTATTTCATTTATGAAATTCATAGTAATAGAGATACATGTCCTATCGCGACATAATTTTTTCCAAATTTGAGAATCGCAATGAATCCCTAATTTTATTGTATTGAAAAATATGTTTTAAATTCTCTTGTTAGTGCTCAAAGGAGCACTAATAGGTATAGATGACAGGATTTGAACCTGTGACATCACTATATTTATTCCTTTTTCTACTTCTTTTTCCAAGGTGTTCTATTTGCTTGTAGCTCCCGTTTGATACCAGATAAAGCAAATCTTGGTTACACACACACACACACATATATATAATGCTAGCCATTGATGACGAATAAAACATATGAAAGAACACATGATAAATTGTTTCTCAGAGATCTCACGATTAAGAGAGTTCTCAAAAGAAGGTCTAATATTATAAATTATTTAAGGGACCATTTACAAAACTCTTATCCGGGTAAGCAATTACCAAGTCACATTACTTCACTAGATGAATATGGTAAGGATCAAAAATCTTACCCGGTAAGAGAGAGACAATGACCAAGAGTCTTACCCGGTAAGCGAGGGCGACTACTCTTACCACGGTAAGCACATACCGGGTAAATTGTTGAATACGATGTCGTTTTGGTGAACTAAATCTTATCCGATAAATAAATAATAATGTTAAATTTTACCTGTAAATACTTACCTGATAAGTGTTTGGTAAACGCTCCCTAAGTTTTAGTGAGTTTTCAAGAATACAAGTATTAAAGTAGTATGTATGAATTAATGATTGATATAAGATCTTTCCATTTTTTTATAATATTTTTATTATAAAAAGATTTTCTATTTTAGAGATCTCAAAATTAATTGTATTATTAAAATACTTTAATTTTTATCCTTCCAATACATTTTTGTAAAAATTTATATAAAATAATAATAATTTGATCTCATTGGTGAGAATAATTAAAAAATATATATATATCTGTTCTCATATGGATTTTGAAAAATTCTCTAAATCTGAAGTATTTTCTTGTTTCGTCTATTTTAGAGAATATATATTGGAGCAAAATAGATGACAAAAATCTTTATTTTCTCTAATTTATGGAATTGATTGCAATGCTCTAAATATTTTTGAAATTAAATGTTTAAGAGAGAGAAAAATATTTTATTTAATTTATTAAATATTTCAATAATATAAATAAGAGCAAATTACAAGTTATGGTGAGAAACGTTAGAAAATATTTGAATCATTGATCACTTTGAATCTCATGCCCACTAAAAAATTGCACTTTAACATGTGAGTTTTCATCAAGAAAATGGCGAGTTTTTGGGAAGATGTTGTTTTTACAATTAAGTCTGTAGCGTCTACCGATTTCGCCATATGCCCCTTTTGAGATGAAAATCACCTTCACGAAATAGATTAAACTTTTGAAAAGGTCAAGGAAACTCAGTCAATTTCTTGATTTGTATCCGTAAATTTTTGGAAACTTGGAAAGTTCTTCTGTCAAATTTGGTTAATTTTTTTAACTGAACGCGGGTAGGTGGGGTCAGCCCATACTACCGATAAAGACTATCATGGAGATCGCTCATTTTCTCAATGAGATTGGTTTCCAAAAGTCTCACGTACTTGAGCCTTGTAATTCTCCCACAACCCATTTTCACGGTTTTGGCTGCTCCCAATTTCGCTCGCCGCTACCATGGGGATAATTGTATTTCATTTGCAAAATTATGATTTAAATCATTAGTCTTTAAGTTTTACTGTTTTATGATTATGATGAGAACTGCTCGAACTCATTAGGCGTTAAGCCTAACCTTTTTCCTTTATCTACATATGCATCAAGTTCATGGGGAAATGATACTACCGATGCCGTGATGAGATGAGTGCTAGATAGATGCTTGATGTTGATTTTAGATTTAATATTCGAGGTCATTTAAGTATTGTTTTATAGAAAGGGTTTTACCCCTTTATTTTGTTGTATTATGGAAACTTTTAAATTAGTCGCTCTTTCCAGATTTGAGGGTGTTACAGTAATATTCTCTTTTTAATTTGTATAATAATAATGAGAGCTAGGGAAACAATATGGCATATAAAGCGTTGCCCGACTAAAACCTTACACCAAGGAACAAAAGCCCAATAGGCAAAATAAAACCTTGGGTGTAGGAAAAAGAGCACAACATATCAATATTACATGTATAGTAAACTCATTCTTTTCTCCATCACTCCCCCTAATTTATGCATTAATCAAAGGATTTTGAACAGTCTCAACATTCTGATACTTTCTACACGTTTCTCAAACATAGAGTAGGTAATGATTTGGTAAACAAATCTATACGTTTTTCCCAAATGTTACTTAATTCACTTCAATTATGAGGGAAACTTATTATTGTTCGGTTTGTATAAAAAATAAGCCAGAATATGGTTTGTATTATCACCCTTGATGTGTCTTGCTATCATTTCTCCAATAAAGAGCTGCATTATCTATACTATATTATTGTAACACCCTCATTTTTTTTTTGTGAGAATGTCACGTAATCTGAAACAATTCTTATATTCATACTCCAAAAGACGGCTAACATAAAACCGTTTGAACTGTTTACAGCGGAGGTCCTTGAACCGTTAAAAAATTTACTTAAGTTCTAACCCACCTCATACCGGGTTAAGTTACAAAGATCAACACAACGTCAAAAGACTAAACATAAGATGATAAGTAGCGACTCTCTAAGCGTGTCCTTTGCTCTTATCCAATCTCGAACTACCTGGCCCTGAGATGCATACTATAGTCAGCTTATAAAGCTCAGTGAGTTCATGGTTTGCGTGAGTAAAGATCATTTCACATCATACATATCAACTTGTAAACTTTGTACCAAAAGTATGCGTTTTCTGGAAAACATGCAGCACTGAAATAACAGAGATCTCATAACTTGTCTGTCGGGTGTGAGTCATTTAGTCACAAACACGCCCTGGGTTGATACTTCAATCTTAATTGATCACCCACTTGTCCGGGTAGTGTTTTATACTGGTCGTGACTTATTGGTCAAATGCTCACCCGCTAAAACTGATCATAAAACTTTCATATGATATAACATGCTAGAGTTATTTGAAAACTGCTTAAACACATAGCATGCAACTGAT